ATATTTGATTTAATGAGTTTAATTACAACACAAGGAATATTTATATGACTAGGACTATATGTTCCACCTTTTGTAAGAATGCCCACAATGCTTTGGGTTCAGTCACAAAAATAAATATGCCACATAAGAAATGGACTCAGTCAAGAAAAATAAGTACTCCAATGCAATTGCAAGTGGACCGGGTCCTGCTTATGTGGCAGCAAGAAAAATAGACTCAGTCTAGCCTTAAGTCTATTTTAGACCAAAGTATAAACCTAGTCTTTTTGTATTGGAGTTAAATTTGATACTTTTCTATATTTTTGTTCATATCATCCAAGACTTAATTCTATTTATATGTCACGTGAGCACAATTAGACCCAAAGTAGTGTAGATGCTCTAAAGAACGGAGTCACTCGACCACAGGGAGAGGAACCGAATTAGTGGGGCTCATTGATGTATATACTTCTTAACGACCCTCTATATCGGCTCATAAATAATAAAGAACTCAACAAAAAGGAATACAAGAAAGGAATAACTCGCAAAATAGAGAGGAGCACTAAATTGAAGTCAGACGAGCAATAAGATGTGATTTCTTAGGATTAGATTAATAACGCGCACATATTCCTACACTAAAGCATAAATCAGGTCGGCTAGCAGTTAAGTACAAGAGACTACCAATCATGATTCTATAAAGAGTTGAATAAATCGGTGTTCTTGCATCGTCCTTAGAAAGCTTTTTGCGACTTCTCATAGGAGTATCAAGACACTTGGCGTGTTCCAACTTGAATCTCTTAAATTGATAGTTGAAAACTCTGAAATAGCAGTCCTTTGTTAGAAAACAAAATATCATTTCTACAATTTGTCAAATGTTTACTTAAAAAAAATACAAACAATGATCATTTACTTAAAAAAAAAGTTGATCAACTAAAAAAAGAAAACAAATCCTTACTTGAGAAACATATATATGAAAAATAATTAATGGTTTTCCCAATCTAAAACTTAAAATGAGGTGAATCAAGCCAAAATCATTGAGGATCATGGCTATAAAAAAGGACTAGTAAAGACAAAATATGATGGATCCTATGTACATAATAATATCTTTCGAATCCTGAAATCTAGATGGGGAGTAAAATAAAGTATGCAAAGTGTATTCGAATACAAAAAATAAATACGAAAGCAAACAAAGATTAAAATCTCTTCGGGGAACTTCTCACTATCCCTTAAAGCTCTTTCATTAATATATATATATATATATATATATGTATATATATATATATATATATATATATATATTACCACGGTTTTTCTATGGAGCCTTTGGATGGTTTTTCTTATGGAGCCCTCTGCCTACATGGCTCCTACATGGCACAAAATGTGTATTAAAATACACCACATGGGTTATTTATTTCTATTTTACATCAATAAAAAAAAATTAATTAAAATTAAAAAGATTATATTTGTTCGGTCAAACTCGTAGCCCTTCTCTTCGTTGTTCTTCTTCTTCCCACCATCACCAAGCACGGAATTCCTCTTCTTCTTCTCATCCCGTCACTCACAGTCGACATGACCACAGTAATTAATTTGCATATTAATTACACATGTAATTAATTGGGCATTATACAAGAATCATCTCTCAAAACTCCGTACTAGTAATTAATTTGCAGGATTAACTTTAACACACACAGGAGAGAGGAAAGAGTTCGTATAAACAATTAAAAACAACTCGTGAGGCTTAAATTAAAAAACACGGCCGAGAACCCTTCGTTGGCTGATCTCCGCCGCGAGAACCCTTCGTCGTGAGAGTTCATACATAGAAGCGATTATGTATCACGTGCATCGCACTTACACTTTACTAGTAGAAATAAATGACACGATGAGAAAGGCATGATATAAAATAATATACGACAAGGACGAAATTAAAAAATTAATTAAGTTTCAATTCCGTACCATACTTATGATTAAATAAAATAGATAACACGAATACACGACAGTGAAACATGAACAAGATAGTCACACACAAACACGACAAAAGCGCAACTATTGTTACCCTGAATGTGACGCCATATCAGAGCAAGTTCTATGTGGGACCCTGCAATGACGTACCCGTTTTCCCGCACGTACCCGTTTATGGGAGCCTGTTTCTAGTAGGGCTTAGGGCAGCCATCTCTGTATATGGGCTTGGGATTCTTATTAAGGACTCACAAGTGAGGGGCGTATTAAAATATTCACTTGTGAGTTGTCCCACATTGTTTATATAGGAAAAATAGACCTAATTTATAAGCCTAGTGGCCTACTTCTCCTTCCATCAATTGGTTTTGGGATGGAACCCTACTTGAGCTTCATTTGGTTCCCTGCTTATGGTGCGCTTCATGTGCGTGGGACCGCACCCGTTTTTCCCTCGATTCTTACATGGTATCAGAGCCGGTTCTATGTGGGACCGTGCGATGACGTACTCGTTTTCTCCCACGTAGCCGTTTATGGGAACTTGTTTCTAGTAGAACTTGGGGCACCCAGCTCTTTATATGGGCTTGGGCTTCTTATTAAGGACTCACAAGTGAGGGGGCGTATTAGAATATTTACTTGTGAGTTGTCCCACATTGTTTATATAGGGAAAGTATGTCTAAGGCGCACCCTGCTTTGGTGCTCTTCACATCTGTGAGACCGCTCCCGTCAAACCCCGTTTCTTCAATAAACTTTACATAATCCTTCCAATCAATATTACGATTAAAATACCAATTTAAGGGCACATTTTAACCATATGTCAATATCAGTTTTGCTATGGAGCCATCGGATGGCTCGACTTATGGAGCCATCCACACTTCTTCACCAATAGTGTATTGACACGTGTCCTTCAATAAATACAAATTGGACAGGTGTCATACATTAAGTGATTGATGGCTCCATAAAAAATTCATCCGATGGCTCCATAGAATATTTGATGTCCATATAGCGGACAATTTTGCATAAGATTTAATTTTATTTTCGTCCTACCTTCTTTCCAAATATGATAAGATAATTTGACTTTCATCAAACTTTAGTATTGTCTTGTCAAAACCATAGAAAAAGAAAATCATACGTTTGTTTACCAATTTTGTTAGTGATAATAAATGAATTTTTGCGATTTGTATAAAAGTCTAGTTAGTGGAGAATTTGAGATATTTTATTATTTTTTTAGGAGCAAAGTCAAATATAACTTTTATATCTATATATCTATATATATAATTACTAGCTAATGCATTTAATAAAACCTATTTTCATTTTCTTCCAAAAGGAGTTATATTTTTTTTGAATTAATTACTCACTAATCTGCTAAAACCATTACACCTAAATAGATAGATTTTTATTATTTATTTTTTAGATCAGTTACTAAATTAATACTAAATTTGATAAAAAAAAATATTCAAATGTGTAACGACTAATGTTGGAACTTAAAGTTGATTGGCACATTCAGAGTTGTAACTGCTATATTTGGTTGCATTGTTGGAAGAAAAATATGATTGTCACATATTTTCTTTTAATCAGAAACACCAATAATTTTTTTATTTATGATAATTTTCTTAATATATGCCACCAATATATAAATTATTGTATTCATATTACTAATGTAAACATTGCATGGTTAAAATAAAATTTAAATCTCAATTACTTTTAAATGATAAAAATAACTTAAGAAAAAGTAATAATTTTTATATGATACAAGTACATGTCTAATTAATAAATACAAACAAAAACTTATTTTATGTCTATGCAAATAGATAGGATCAAATACTAGTTGAGTAAAAAAGATGCAGTCCAAATAGATATATAAATTGCTACAATCTCGCAACATCTTAATAAAATTGAAATTACTTG